ATAGATAGATAGATAGATAGATAGATAGATAGATAGATAGATAGATATTAACTAGTAGTAAAAAGCAGACTATAAATTTGAGAGTGGAAAGGTAGATGGTACAGTTTAAAGGGAGGAAATATTATAATCTTAAATTTTTTTTTGAAGAGTTAGTTGTACTCTCTATTGCCTTTTACAACACTATTGCCTGGTTCATTTTTGAGACATTTCTTTTTCCTTTTTAGTCTTACTGGTAGTTCTCCAAACTTATTCATCTTTATTTTTCAAATGGATTTTTATGTCATTGATTTTCTGTATGGCCTGTGTTCTCAGCTTCATTGATTTCTCTCCTTGTCTTCGCTATCTGCTTTCTTCTGCTGACTGGGACTTCCCGGCAATAGGAGAGTGTGGCCATGCCTGTCACTAGCTGGGAAAGTAAAACCGTGTTGGGTTATACCATTCTTTCTTAGCTTCCTTAAAGGTTGATGTGAAACTTTTCCTCTTTTCTAATGAAAGAATCTAAGACCACAAATGTCTCTCTTGATGTGGCCTTTGATGAACCTTACACGTTTTTCTGCCAAATATATATTTTTTAATTTCCATTTAAAGTCTCTCTTTAGCTTACAGCTTTGTGTGTGTGAGCACACATGTGTGGAGTTTCATATTGTCTTCCCCTCGTGTCTTTCTTTGGCTGTGTTTGTTGTTTTGAAGTAGTCCTGTTCAGTGGGTCAGAATAGACTCAATTTTACAGTAATCCTCCTGTCTCAGTCTCCCGAGCTGCTGGCATTAGGCAGCTAACTGCTGCTGTTCTCTCAACTTGTTATTGAGGTTCTTGACTGAAATTGTAGATTTCCCTCAGTCCTATCAGTGACTGCTGAGTCTCTGCTGTGTTTTGCACCTCCCTCATTTGGCCCACATTTCTGGGTGTGTCAATTCTTTTTACTAGTGCCTAGTGTCCCTCCTACCTCTGGCAACTGTCTTCACAGAACATCCAGTGCATCTAATATCAACATAGCCTCTCCTGCTTCTTTTCAGTTAGGGTTTTTCATGTGACACACACCTCCAGGCCTTTGCTTTCAGATTCTCACTGCAGAGTTGGGTTCTTAACTATCTATGTTCTGCAAATGCCCGTGTTGTTGATATAAAAGCCTACTGAGATTTACATACAGTGTTATTGATATTATTAAGGCCTGGGCTTGCACATTTATTTCTTGTCTTGTTTCTTCTTGATGTGATTTTTTTTTTCACCTGCATTACAGGGGAAAAACTAGAACATCTAGCATTGATCATTTTGTTGGTTTGGCAATTTCATCCATGTACGTTATGCATCCTGCTTACTTATTCTCTGCCACACACCTTCCCTTATCTCCCCCATCCCATCCCCTAATAGTTTCATTGTACAGCTTCCTTTAGCAGGTGCTCTATGGGCTATATAAGTCATCACAGGTTACATGATTTCAATCTACTGTTGACATTTTACCAGCTGAAGTGCGTTATGGGAACTCTGCCTTCCTGGATGTCCTTTCTATTCCACTGGTAAGAACACTAAGTTATCCCCTTTTCATTTGTATTGCACTGTCAAGCAGGGCAGGCCTGCAATTTGTGCTTTCCCCGGCAAGCACAACAGAAACACAGAAGTGTTGGTTTTATCTGCAGCCAATGTTCCTGCCTACTGCTCTCCCCCTCTCCTGTTGCTCCAAGATTCCCTGTCATTCCTTTTCCCCCAAGAGAACTTTCTCTAGACATTCTTTCCAGGCTGGCCTACTAGCGATGAAGGTGCTTAGCTGATCCTCATTGAGCGTCATTTGTTTCTCCTATGGGGCTGAGGACCGAGTCCAGGGATTTTATTGCTGACAAGTGCCCCACCGCTGAGCGTCATCCCCTGTGATCTCCCACTTAGAAGGTCCTGCATGTTTTTAATGGTTGAAGGATCATTTCCAGACATACAGAATTCCAAATCAACAGTGTGCACCTGATTTCAACACTGTGACAGTTCTGCTGGCATGCCATTGGCCTCTGACCACAAACCTGCTGTTGATCAATTTGTCCTTTCCCAAGAGATACCAGAGAAGGCCTCGGTCCAAATTATTGTCTTGGGGCTGGAGACACGCTCGGCAGTTGAAAGCGCCTGCAACTCTTCCCCAAAATCAGAGTTCACATGCCTTGGAGAGTCTACACTCACTTGTAACTCTGGCTCCAGGGGATTCGATGTCCTGTTGGGACCATTTGGAGTCCTGCCCTCCAGCTGCTCTTCCCTACTAGAGATCTTTACTTTCCTTCTGATTTGAGTTACTGAAAGCTGTGTCAAAGTTGTTTACCAGCTCTGCTTCACGAGCACGTGTTGCCTTGCCTTGAGGATCAGAGGATAAGGTTTTCACCTGTTGGCCCACCTGACTGTTGGTGGTGCTATTGAATAAAGGGCTTCTTATCAGTGACTAGAGGTCCGTGTCTCTGTCTGTCTGTCTATCCCTGTGAATTTGTGTCTTTCAACCTCCAGCCCCTTGCCTGAAGCTCACTAACTGTATGGTAGTGCATAGAGCTCAGACTGGCATGGTGTGCATCGCAATGTCCTCTCCTGGCCTCTGCAGGAACATAAAAGCATGTGCACTTACAAGATATAGACATAATACAAAATAAGTCGTTTTGCGAGATTATGTGGTTTCCACGATTTTGATTACCATGTATCCTGCTGCTTATTTCGCTCCACTTATTCTGTTTGAGGCATCCTCATTTTGGTGACTATGTAAATCAAGACCATTAGCCAAATATGTTCAGTTTATTCCCTTAAGTTGCCTTTGTTCTGTTTTGGGGAACCGGGTCTCACTGGTAGTCAAGCCTGGCTTCCAACTCCCTGTCTTCTACTTCAGCTTCCTGACAGCTGGACTACAGGCACGTGCTACAACAACCAGCTTGAGTAATTATTTTGGCAGTAGTGTTTGAATAAAGTGAGAATCATTTTCTTTATGTTTTATAAGGCCTAACATTATCAGCTGCAATGACCAGAATAAGTAAATTACCAGAATAAATAAATATGTAATAATTAAAATAGTAAAATAAAAAATAAGAAAAATAAAAATAGGTAAAATAAGTAAAAATATGTCTGTTCTATATGTCTACAAGTTGACCACCAGCCATTAGTTTTTAAATTAATCATAAAAATTTTAATCACAATGACTCATATCCAGTAAATTGACTTCACATGCTAGGGATGAACACTTGTTTATTAGCTATAAATCATGCTGATATTAGCTACTTTGATAGATCGGAGTCAAATATAATATGTACTAAACTAATCCAGTGTGTTGCTTAATAATCTTTTCTGTAACTATTAGTCATTAACTTGCCCTAGTTGAGATACTGACTCTTTTTTCACATTAGATATTTCTATAGAATGACTGTTTGAAAATTTTTAGTTTAAAATAAAAACCTGAAGCATTTTACAATAATTTTCACTGAATTAATCTAACTTGATAATGAAAAGCTAAAAGGAAATGACCCAGGAAACCAAGCAAATTTAATCTAGTCACCAATTTCATTTTAAATGCTTTTTTAAAAGTCACGGTCATAGTTGTAATTTAAACTTTCAAAACATATTTTAGTGTTTTGAAAATTGCTTTCTGACTTTCAACTTAGTATGTTGAAACACAGACTTGACTAAGTCTTTTTGTGTGTTGGGCTTGAGAACAATGAGTTGTTTAATAAAAGTTAAACTTTTTGGTACATAGAGGAAAATAATCACTGTTTTCTATTGTCTAGTGCCTATATAACCAGCTTTAAATCATTAAAAATAAAAAAAATATTGGGCTGAAGAGGTAGCTTAGTACCTAGAACTGCTTACTGCTCTCACAGAGACCTAGAATTCAGTCTTCAGCACCGACACTGGGCAGCTCTCAACATTCTTTAACTACTACAGTTCCAAGAGTTCCCAGGTCCTCTTCTGGTCTGCACAGGCACACACACACACACACACACATGCGTGCACACACACACACACACACACACACAGACACATACACGCGTGCACGCACATACACAAAATGAATTAATCAAATGAAAACTTTGAAAACACATTTCCCGATACTTAAAGCTTTAATCCTCAGAATACATTTTATTGAGTTTAATTGTATGTTAAATTTATATGCAACATGGAAATTTTCACAATGGTCCTGTATTGGCATTTCTGGTGTTACATGATATAGAAAGTCAACGATGAGAATCTAAACACACATGTAAAAAGAAACACAGCTATTAAAAAAATATAATCAACGATCCTTGATTTAAGCAAAACTAAACATTTATGATCAAATATCTATTCTAAAAGCTAAAAAATATAAGTAGCTATTCTTTTGCAATATTAAGTAGCATTACAGTTAATTACATATGTAATAAATCTATTACTTTCATGGTTATCAATAAACTTTAGAAAAATAATGTGATAATTTTCCACAAATTACATATTTGTTTTAATAAAATGCCTTAAAACATAAAACACACCAGACAAAAACATTATCTTTAACCAAGACCCTAAACAGGTTTCCATAACATGCTCCCATTGAGCGAGCTGCAAAGGAACAAGAAATGCAGACCATAAACTGTTTGTGAAACTGAAAGTACTTTGTTCTATTCATGTGGGATTTTCAATCATTTCACTGGCAAATTTGGTCCTAAAGGATCTGCCATTCTTGGCTCACTGGATTCACACAAACATGACCACTACCACACAGGAACCAAGCGGTGCACAAATCCAAGGAACTGGCCAGTTCATCTACCCAGCAGCGCAAGCAAGATGTTCTTCGCCAACTTCTCTTATGACCCGCGCATCCATCTTCCCAATGCCAACACACCACAGTCATCCTAAGATACTTAAAGCAATAAAACTTTACGCTGAGTTATAGGCACTTCTCCACAGCGGCATTCCCCTGACACCTACTGAAAATGGTGATTTCCCCGCATTAGCTAAAATTGGCTATTTCCTTGAAAGTTCATTTCTATCAATCATTTCAGCTTGCTGCGGCCTCTGTGACAGGACCTCCCCCCCACACACACAGAGCAGTGGCCTCCTCCCTAGGAGCTGAATGTGAGACCAAAGGGCCTGCTTTCCATGTCTCAGTGAAGTTATACATAGCATCTTTCTCGTTTTATGTCTGGATGATAAATTTCATGGTCATTCTCACAAATGACAACTAAAAAAAAAAAAGTCTTAAGTATGTATTGATTTCCCAGCACCTGCGTGGGGACACAGACTGACAAAAAGTGGGTCCCAACTACAGTAAGATTATGGATCTTGTGCTATGACTGACCACCTAAAAAGAGTGAAATTAAAAAACAAGCAAAACGAAACAAAACAAGGTAACTGATAACGACCTCAGTTTTTAGGATGTATATAACTAGTCATTCAGTGCTGTTGAATTGGCCAGCTGAGGCCAAATCTGGGTTTCAGTTAAATGTACATCGTGGGTTTGTGTGGTTTTCTTGTGGTCTCTGGGCTTGAGACTGTGCATTGGTGAAAATAGAGGACTGTTTTTATGGTACGCGTGAAATACACAGAAAACGTCAAAGCATGTGTTAGAGTGCCTAGCACACGACACGCTCAACAAATGGCTGCCGCTGGTACTGAACAAGTGGGGCGCGTCTTTAATGAGGAATCCGACTGGTAAGCAGAACAGGCCACTGCCTAGATGCAGGGCAAGTAAAGACGGGACACACAGTTCAGCTGTCTTCCTCTCCAGGACAGACAAGGGTGATAAGATGTCATTAAATCAGTTGAGTACCTAAGTGTGTGTGACTTAAAGTCACAAACCAACCAAGTCTTCCTTCCACTTCCACTCATGCCATCAATATTTTTCTGAGTGCGACGGCACACAGGTCACCATGCTGTGCTATTAATACCGGGGCACTTGGACACCTTTCTGAGAGCTGAACCACTGAGCAGAAATTCCCTAATTCTTTCCTTAGACTTACTTAATTACCAAAGGTTCACTTTCATACGGGGAAATCTAACAGGTGGCAAATAATCAAAACTGTCTCAAAGATGAGGACCAGAAACCAAAAGGTAGAAATGAAAGACTTTTTCCCCCTTCTTTTAATCAATTTGATGAAAAGTATGCTTTCAGTGTTCAAAATGTAATGATAAATCTTTCTGTCACATGCTGCTGTTAATATTACATTCTGAAGTGAATTCTGAGATGTTCAAAGGCGTACAAAACTTGGGGAAGTGGAACGGGTATGTTAGTGGAGTGAGCGCAGTGCCAGCTCTCTGCGCCGCACAAAGGAACATAATCATTAAAATCCTGCGTATTTAGGGCCAAGGTGTCACCTTATTAAATAAAAGGTTTCTGCGCATACTGACCATGGGATTCTACGTGTGACAGGAATTAACCCACCAGAATAGGTGTGATGTACTCTGTACAATTGGAGGATTTGCATAATTTGTTCTTCTGTAAAAATTTGTTTTGCAGCTTTAACTGTCAAAATTAGTTTTCTAAAGATAGGGATACACATTTTACATCATCTATAACTTTTTCCTTGTTCGAAATACGGGGCACACAACTGAAGCAGGAAAACTACCTTGACAACATGGATTTCTTAGCGCACGGTATTTTCCCTACCCCATGAATTTCCCCTAAACTTTAACATACTGAAGGGTAATCTTGAGTTAGTGGGACGGACAAGCATCCGAGACACATTCTGGGCTAATCCAAGACACTGGGAGGAGACCGGTAATTAGGTGACGTGCAGAAATGGCAACAATGTACTGCGTAAGGTCTGGCCTGAAACCTGATAGGTCACGTGAGATCTTTGTGTTTAAGAAGGAAGACTGAGACTGAGAAGCACCGTGAAAAATGGAGGAATGCACAATGAGGCCAAGGTAGGGAACCCTACACCACCATAACCTTACAGAAGGTGAAGTGGGAGGGGTTCTGGGAGGATTAATGACAGGTTAAGAAAATTAAAGGAAACCAGGTGATGGTGGCGTATGCCTTTAATTTCAGCACTCAGGGAGGCAGAGGCAAGCAGATCTCTGTAAGAGTTCGAGGCCAGCCTGGTCTACAGAGTGAGTTCCAGGACAGCTACCTTCAAAAAAACAATTTTAGATTCAAGCCTGAAGGACTCGCTAGCTGGGGGCGGGGAGGGGGGGAGGATTAGGAGATTTATATTTCAATGCAAACCGAATTTAAGATTATCTGAACATTTTTATGGCATCAGTACATCTAATTATTATATTGAAAAACACATCAACTGAAAAGATTGGTAGAGTTTCCCAGGTGTCTATGACATAGGGTAGTTTTCCTACTTTCATTTTTGTTTTTTTGCAGTCAGTTTACAGTGGGTCCTTAGACAATCCATTCATCGTCTCTGTGAGGCTAGTTAATAGAATCAGTCCGTTTTAATCTAATAGGGATGGAATAATTTTTCAGAAGTACTCCAGAGAGATCCTGAAAGGCCAAAAATCAACTTCAATATTTGAAAACTTTTTCTACTTAAAGTTACTAAGATAACTTATCTTTTAGAAAACTAACTAACACATATTACCTGCTAGTATTTCAATGTGGAACATAACTATTTCAGATTATTTTACCTTTGAGTAGCTTTTTTTTTTCCATGTAAGCTATTTCAACTTAAATACTTAGTGGTGGCAAAGCAAATGAATGAATCTTGTCAGTAAAGTTACTTGGGGTTTTGGATGTGTCCAGTCACTGTTATACTGTTGAGTGGGACTTGCTCTCTCAACTCAAAATGTTTAGGCTAATCATATTGATTGCCATGAGCTCATCAAGAGGATCTTGTCAAATTAAGCACAGATTAAAGCAAAACAAAAGTACCATTCATAAGACTAAGGAAGAAAACAGGACATCTACTACCAAGAGGTGCATTCTCATTCAATAAGATCTACACGTACAGTTAACATGTATTAGAAAATACTGAACTTTGTTGCATCAACAAAACAGGACACAGCTGCCATAATATTTTATATGTACTATTCTAGCTAGTGATATTGGTAAACATTAGCTGAGACATTACAGAATTGTCCCTATCAGAATTTGATATTTTTCTTAGCTAGTGTGCAAGGCATACACTTCTAATTTTCAATGCTAAATCAGTGGATTCTTTCTACCCAGCCTCTAAACTGTCAATCCCCAAGAACCATGGATTTCTTTTACTACCATCCCAAGTTGGTCCCTTTGTTGTCATTGTCCTTAACTCTGTTATCAGGAAACAGTGTGTCACAAATTTGGCAGCACCAGGGACACCTAATCTACTACCCAAGGCACCGCTTTATTTATCTATCTATTTATCTATTTATTTATTTACTTAACTTAAAGTCAGTGACAACTGGCTATGTCCATTCAAAGTTGAATTGATTTGGGCTTTATTGAGTTTATATAAAATATCTCAGTTATGTATGTAATGAAATCCTTCCATTTCAAAAGCTAAGTCTAAGACATTTGCAGCAACATAAAAATAGGGTACTAGCACGCCTGCTTATCAATCAAAGGAATTATTATTGGAAAGCAGTAATAACGCATTTTTGTACATTTGGACAGTAATGGCACGAGAAACCAGACAGCAAATCAAGGTCTCCAGGATCCACGAGCCACAAAGCCATGAAAGTAGCCGTGTCGGACTGTGACCACATGGATCTGTACTCTGAAACTTCAACACCAGGAGGACAGATGAGGCCCAAATGCCGTGGCAAAGAATGAGGAAAATGTCCTACTGAAGACTAAGAAACCCTTTTTCTTAGCATATACGGTTTGTACTCCCTTAGTGGACACCATTACTCATGGAGCAAAAGTATACCTTAGAGTAGAGCCTACAGAGAAGTCACCATTATCGAAAGTATAGTTCCTATTTTCTAGGGAAAACACTTTCAATACCATGGCAGAATACACATCACAGAAAAGCTGTTATCAATACTTCTGTAGGTAGTCATGCATGAGCAGGGGAAACACTTGTAAGACAACAGGCAAACGCTTTCTCTTTAATGCATTCTTTGGTAATAAACACATCTTTAGTGATATTTCTTCGTGGATTAGTCACTGATTTTGCTGCTGTCTGTCCCATGCCCCTGATCTCCCGGACCAGGATAAAATTTATTATCTAGCTTACAGCAGGCAGAACACACCTGAAACAATTCGCCTTGCTTTAATGAAAAGCAATTACAAAATGAAAATACATCTTTAGGTAGGAGATGGCCTATATTGTTTATAAAGCTACCGCTGTGGGTGCTGAGGAAGTTTTCTGTCTTCTAAAAATCTAAAATTCACACATTCTTGAGAGGAAGCAGGAATACAAACTCTTTGTACATCTTCTCCAGGCGGAATAGTCTTCGCTCATTGTTCCACCGACTCCTGGGTTAAAGCAAACAGAAGGCAACAATTACTGCCGTGCGATTCTATAATAACTTCCAATCGTTTTAGCAAAGCAAAGGAGTGCTAGAAAGCAAGCTTGCCATCTACTGGCAAAGCAAGTGCGAACACTGATGAACTAAGACCGTTAAGAATTAATTAAGGAAATTATCTGTGATGGACAAATTCATTGCATCAACCATATGGAAGTCTATGAGAATAAAATCAAAGAATACAGAAAGTCTGAGCTGAGAAAGTTAAAATTACACAAAAGCTTTAATCCCAGCACTCAGGGGGGCTGAGAAAGGAGAGCTACCACCTATTCTCTGGTAGAAAAGGATACCATTAATTTTTGTAAAGTCCATATTTTCTCCTAAATAAATGTAAATAAGTGTGCTCAAGCACGGTGAACTAGGTCTTCTATGAATCTGAAAAGAGTAAAGTTTAATAGCCTAATATGTTTAATTTCGCCTTTTCCTATGGTTTAGAAGTAAGTAACTTACATTTTTTCTGAGCCTGGGGGCAGCATTGTTTTCTATACCATTGCTATCATCTGATTTCCTGTATCAAAAACAAAAAGGAGAATCACCAGATGTTCACGATGCAGACAATTAAGTCAGTGTAATATTTTACACCACACTGGATGCAAACTCTAAAATGTCAGTGCACACTCAATTCATTCTTCCTAACAGTGTTCTACTTGTAATGTTGACTTTTCTCATGCCAATGCTTAGGGAGAACCTACTGCCATGGGCATGACAGCAAAGACTTGCGTGATCTAAGCAGAGGGAGAACTACAAGAGTAGGGTCGTGGGCATGCACGCAACTGTGGTCTCTCACAGTATTCTAAAACATGCAAGGTAACAGTCAGTAGGGAGCTCAGCCAATTTGTATGAGAGAAGTCATAATTTGACGGCTATTACATTAAATTAGAAGCTGCATATGGCCTTTTGTATCAGAACAAGACTATTAAGGATGGACTTTGGATTCTTCAGCATGACTGCACGAGCAAACCATTGAGCACAGTGAATACCACTAGAGACGTGGGCAGACCCACGCTCATGAGGCTGTTGTCATCAAGTAAAATCAGCCAACCAACCATGCATGTCAAAACTGGAGTGTAGAAATCATGGATGGTGGGACAATAATCAAATAAATGAGTTTACTCCTCATTGAGTTCCTTGAGAGAAGCCATGGCTTTTGATGTTATATATTTATTATTGTTTAAATCATTTTTACCAAGAAACTACAAAAGACCAGGGTTACCAAAGCACATAAATATACATAAAAACATATCAGTTATATAACACAACAAAATGTTTTCTGTGAAAAAAAATTAGTTACTAACTAAATTAACTAGGCTACCTAAAATGAACTATAACAATGGAACAAAAGAGGGAGAACATGTATGTTATTCCAATTTAAAGTAGAAGGTATAAAATAACTTTATATTATAAATAAAATCTTGTTGACATTGCTTTTAAGATGTTTGGGGGTCATTGAGTGGGGTAAGCTGTGGTAATAAAAATTAAATCACACAGAATTGATAGTCCATTCTGGCAGCAGAGCAAATCAGGATGCAGCCCCAGCCCCTAGTGACCACAGGAGTGGTCAGAGGCAAGGGCCATGATCGGATGAGCAGAAAGAGCAGACATTAAGAGAACGCAGTTTAACTGTCTTCATATTCATGAATGGCTGTCACACGCTTTATGAACTTTAAAAAATAAGATGACCAATAAATAAATAAGAATTGGGGTGATTTAAACTTCAACTTATAATTTTGTGTCCTTAACTTGGAAGCACATATCCTGTTGGTTCATTTTTACCTACTATGTATGAACTGGGGCCAAAAGCCTCTTTGACTATGGCTACAAGTATATGAAGAACCACACATCCACCATCTTGTTGGGCATGGGGGCCCCTTTCAAGGTCAAATTCTCAGTTGTCTTAGTTTGATCTCTTATTCTGTTTCTCAGATTTTAGTTCCTTCCCTGGCAGCCTTTATTCTCCAGTTTGGAAGAAGTAGTCCACCATCCCCAAACCAAAGTAGATCAATTGCCCTTTTATTTATCAATTGCCCAGCTATACTCAGAGCTATTCCCAGCTATCTCTGAAGAGATCTGTAAAAGAAAAAAACATGAGTTCTCTCAAAAGTAATTCTCAAAGAATCCTAGGTGAGTGATTTTCATTGTGATAAAATCAGAACCACTGGAAGATGTTTTCAGAAAATCCAGGTTCCATACCCAACCTAAGTGGTTCTTTCTGATCTGGGGGATCTAGTGAGGCCTGAACACTGAACTAACACTCTCTCTCTCTCTCTCTCTCTCTCTCTCTCTCTCTCTCTCTCTCTCTGTCTCTCTGTCTCTCTCTCTGTCTCTCTCTCTCTGTCTCTCTCTCTCTCCCTCTGGATGTTTTGCCATGGTGCATGTGTGTCCCATGTGTGTGCACATGCCTCCAGAAGAGAACACACTAGATACCCTAGAACTGGCTATAGACTGTTGTGAGCTGCCATGTGGCTGCCAGGAATTGAACCCATGCCTTCTAGAAGAGCATCAAATTCTCTTAAACCACCAAGCCATCTTTCTAGCCTCAAGAACATTGTATTAAAAAGCTTCAGTGATCAAAACTACAACCAAGGTAAAGACTCATTTAAATAAATTAATACATATGGTTACTGTGCTCCAAAGTCTGTCCCAAGCAGTCATACATAAATTATCACTAATTCAACAAATGTGTGTAGGAGCACCATGATGAACCTGTCTTGCAGAGATGAAACCAGAAGCACAGAGCAGCTATTAATGGAGGGGTAGACTCTGGGTATCACACTTCAATATCCCAAACATGTATACAGAAAACAGCATGCACACCAATACGTTCTTGGCATTTTTTCTTGTTTCTATCTGTACACACTTCACATAATTTTGTATTTATCTGTATTTTACCCGAGTGAGGAAAAAGAAATAAAAAAACTACTTACAACTGTTCAATTTGTTCAAATTCTTTCCCATCATCTGTATAAAGACAAAGAAAAAGGATATGACACTTAAGCATGCAATGCTATGTTACATGTTCAATTCAACCTGCTCCTAACAACTTTTCCATGGAAAGGGGAGAAGTGCCACCTTTGATAGCTGTGCCTCCCTAATTCCCTTGTAACAGGACACCAGATACTATCTGAGTCTCTGGTCAAAACTGTTTGGCACCCTGGGATTTTTTTCCCTAAAACTATATAATGAAAATCACACACACACACACACACACACACACACACACACACACACACGTGTATACACGCACATATACATACACATACATAAACATATATATTTAAATGGCATCATACATGAAAAGCATACATATACGTGTATGTGTGTATACATACACCCATATATATACACATACACACATACATAAACATATATTTAAATGGCATCATATATGAAAATCATACATATATGTATGAAAATCAGAAAAGAATACAGAAAACATGTTTACTGGCAGGTTTTTTGTATCAACTTGACACAAGCTAGAGTCATCAGAGAGGAAGGAGTCTCAGTTGAGGAAATGCTGCCATTAGATCCAGTTGTAAGGCGTTTTCTCAATTATTGAACAATGTGGGAGGGCCCAGCCCCATGGTGTGTGGTGCCATCCCTGGGCTGGTGGTCCTGGGTTCTATAAGAAAGCAGGCTGAGCAAGCCAGGAGAAGCAAGTCAGTAAGCAGCACCCCTCCACAGTCTCTGCATCAGCTCCTGCCTCCAGGATCCTGCCCTGCCTTCCCCCAGTGATGGTCTGGGATCTGGAAGTGTAAGCCAAATAAACCTTTTCCTCCCCAACTTGCTTTCGGTCGTGGTGTTTTTCTCACAGCAAAAGAAGCCCGAACTAACACAACGTGACAATTTCTATCATGGGTTTCTCATCCAATAGTCCAACAGACAAGGGTTTAAAAGAGCAACCCTATGGCAACCTGGACTTTAGGCACTGAGAATCTAGGGAGTGGATAAAATACTTTTAAAATGGAGATGGGGAGAGAGCTTAGTCACAAAGTGTCTGCTGTAGAAGCATAAGGCCCAGAGCTCAATTCCCAGAACCTGCATAAAAAGCCAGACAGGGAGAGGGAGACAAGACAACCCATGGAGCGCAGTAGCTGCCGCTCTAGCCTAATTGGTAGGCACCAGGGTAATGAAAGCCCGTATGTCAAAAAGGAGTGGAGAGAGCATTCCTAAATAAGTTTATACTCCGACCTCCAAACACACACATGCACACACACACACACACACACATATGAGCACCCCCACACAAAAACAAAAGCAATCCCCCTGATGCAAATGATCAAAATGAATTATCTAAATGAAAAAAAAATCTGAGACCATTTACATTAAAAAAATCCAGTCTTTCCATAATATTCCAACATCAACATTCTTGAACTGCTGCACAGTGGCACCAAGAGAGGAAACACTTTAATTTTAACACTAACATTTTTGAGGCAGATGGAACAAAGGCCAAGAATCCAGACTCAGAGACCATTACCATCATGGTTACAAGTATAGATATTGGTCCAAATAAGAATTTTTTTTACAGACCATTTTTACTTATTGTGTGTGTGTGTGTGTTCATGTGTATATTTGTGTATGTGCACATTTATATAGTGTGGATACATGTGTGCACACTGTAGTCTGGCTGTGAAGGTCACAGCATGACCTCAGGTGTCTGTCAGTCTTTGGCTTCTGCGCTGATTGGGCCTTCCTGCTGTTTTCCACTGAATATGCCAGGCTAGTTGGCCTACAAGCTGCCAGGGGTCTGCAGCCTTTACCTCCCTCCTCTGCACATGGGCAGTAAGATTCTAGCTGCTCATGCTATGCACCTGGCTTTATACATAAGTTCTGGAGTTTCTCATACCTGTGCAACAAATGCTTTTTCCTCAGTGAGCCGTCTCCCCAACCCAGCCCCAGAACTTGTAAGAGACTATGTGTTAGGCCATAATACACATCCTAATGAAGTGATAATGTGGAAACCGAGGCAGAGATCCACATCTAAGCACTGGGCCGAGCTTCCGCAGATCAGTCAGAGAGGGAGGAACAATAGTATGAGCAAAGGGGTCAGGACCATGATGGGGACACCCACAGAAACAGCTGACCTGAGCTAGTGAGAGCTCACTGATTCCAGACTGACAGCTGGGGAACCTGCATAGGACCAAACTAGGCCATCTGAATGTGGGTGACAGTTGTGTGGCTGAGGCAGTATGTAGGGTCACTTGCAGTGAACCAGGATTTATCCTTGCTGCTTAACCTTGGAGCCCATTCCTTTGTGGGGGGGATACCTTGCTCAGCCTAAATATGTGGGGAGGGTCTTAGCCCTGCTTCAAAGTGATTTACCAGAATGTTGACTCCCCATGGAAAGCCTTATCCTCTCTGAGGAGTGGATGGGGGTGGGGTGGGGGGAAGGTGAAGGAGTGGAAACTGTGTTAGGTATGTAAAATGAAAAAAGATCATTTAAAGAAAATAAATTTAATGAAGCGATAATGTAATAGAAAAAGTGAGAACTCCTACCTGGGTCATGCTTTTTTTTCTGTGTGTACACTTCACAAAGCAGAATGATAGCCACTAGGAGAATAACTTCGGCGATTATTGCGAGAAACGGCTTCAGGGGCACCATGAAACTCAGCACAACCAGCTCAATGTGTTCTTCGCTCTCCCCTAACTGGAAGGCCGCTCGGCACCAGTAGGAGCCCCCATCTTCCTCCAAAAGATGCTTTACCCTGAGTCGTGTCTCATTAGCATAGGATCCATTTATAACATACTTATCATTCTTGTGAACATCAATAGGAACCTAATGCAAGGAGACATTAAAATCCTTACAGAATGCAAAAAGAGAGACAAGTCCCATGAGATCTCATTCTGGGCAAAGCTATAAGTCAGAGCCAAGGAAAAACCACTTACTGGAAAGGAGCATATTAAAATTTATGAGTCTTTGCAGGAGGTTAGTGTTCCAGCAGCAAGCAAGAGAAAAAGTCTGCTCCGCTATGAGGACTCAGCCCTGAATCTACATATATATGTCTAGGTCGTCATTAGTAAACGTTAGGTGGAAATCCAAGGCAGAAAATTCCCAACCATCTTGGCTTCCATTTCTCACATATCACTAGCTCTCCACAAACAGAGGCAAGCACATAAGGAAACAAAACACCTACTTCTAAAGATATTATTCTGATCAGTCCTGATGATAGACCACCAAGCTGACCACCTGAGTTCCCTACACTAAAAGTGCAGTTGAAATCTTCAAGGCTTCTAAGCTGATGCCCTCCAGTGACCAGCTCTCTCGTCCTAGACCTCTGTTCCTTCCTTTCACGTCCCTGTTTCTTTCTCTCTTAGGTAAACTGGCTTCTGAGAGCTTCTGGGTTTTCCTCCTGCTCCCAAAGTCATACTGGGAAGCTGTTATACTTAATCTAAATTAAATTTTATTCTCAGGACATTTGATGTCTTCACTGTTCTATCATTCAACTGAAATGTTCAAGAAATGCTAATCTGCATACAAATGTTCTCAAATTATCCAAGGACGAATTCTCTACAAATGTATTTGCCAAAAGAAGGGAGGGAAGAAAGAAAGGAAGGGAGGGGGAGGGAGGGAGAAAGAGAGGAAGGAAAGAGGGAGGAAGGAGGGAGGGAAGGAAAAAGAACGACCATGACCTATCAATATATACACAGTCAGCACAGTCTGTAATATTCATGACACAAACCACCACATAAATCAGAGATAATAAATCAAAGGGCTGAATTTTAAGAAAGTACAGAGCTAATTGTAATACAGATGGTGACTTACATTTTGAAATGGTACTTGACTTAAAATGATGACCTGTGACCCCCTCCCTGCCCCTGTCTTACAATTGATCATGATCAGGCTAAATGCTAAAAGAAGAGGAGAATGATTCACACAGCAAACCCAGAAAACAACTTTAATATAAAATGACTTAGGCTCTACTTTGTTGGCTAACACACACGCATGAATAAATTAGGCTATAGATTTCAAACATCACAACTGCTATTTGTTTTTATAATTTATATTTTAAAAACATTTGTAGATACCTGTCCTGATCACCAATAAGACAAAGGGCAGAGGATTCACTGTTTATGCCGACCCCTGCATGATCTAGAGCTATTTTCTTGAAACATTAAAGCAAAGTTAGCACAGAAAAGATGAGCTCCTTCCAAAGCCCTTCTTCCATTGTCCACAGTCCCAACTTTATTTCAGTGGGAATCTAATACCTCATTGAAAGACTGGTTCTGTTTCATATGTCTCATCTAGAATTACAGCTTTTCGTTAATAGGACTTTAATTTGAATACTCATTAGCAGCACGGCAAGAAAGGGACACTCCCCCCACCAGCACCATGCCCCATGTTTCAAGCTCTTTGAAGCTAGCTGGGAAAGGACAGGACATCAGCAATATTTTATTCACTGAATACTCTTGTTTTCTTCAGATCAGCTCTGTGAAGCCAATTGTCTTATATGTATGAGCCTTGAAATCCACTTCTTTCCAATGTGTGAAGTACAAAGGACTGAGGACACTTAACAACTAAGATTTCAGTTTAAGAAACCAAATTTCCATTCATTGTTTCTAAATGGTGCCGAGACGTTGGCTCCCACGTCAGATATTTCAGGAGACAAACCGGAAAAGTGCCTGGGATTTCTTTTTCCCCCTAGTTAGTGACAAGAAGTCGAAGCAGGGCTTTTCTGGTGAAATTACTTCTAGCCTGGTCAATTAAAAATGTTTTGGTTTTGCCTCATTATGTAGTCTGGGATAACACTGAAACCTCTATGCATGGCCTTGAAAACACAATGATCACCGAGCTTCAGCTTCCCACAGGTCCGGGATTACAGGCACATCCATTAAACCAGGTAAAAATTCTCTCTCCTTTTACTTTAAGTTTTGTTTTGTAGCAGAGACTTGCTTTGTAACCTTGGCTCTTCTGGCTTTAACTGGCACCATCTCTTTGGTGCAGGTTTACCTCAAATACATGGCAATCCTCCTGCCTCAGTTTCTTTGGTACTGGGATTAAAAGCACACACCACTGTGCCCATCCTGAAAGCAAATTTTGATTTTCTTTCAAAGACTTTAAATTTCGAAACCTAAAAAGAAAACAATGTAGGATCCAATAAAACACTAAGATCTTCTTCACACATACTATGCCATGTGCTGAAAACATTCATCAACTCCATTTATCACTGTGTGCTCTTGCAAACTATAAACTATAACAGAAGTGCTTGTCTCCCTAGGACTGAGTCAGCTAGAATACTCTTTATGAACTAAATGGCTTCTTGTTTTCTTTTCTTCAACCCCAAGAAAAAAACATCTTCCATGTGTGTGTGTGTGTGTGTGTGTGTGTGTGTGTGTGTGTGTGTATACACACATATACACATACACACACACACGTGTATACATGTCTGTGCGGGTGTTTGAGCACATTTACGTGTGATGAATGTGGAGGCTGGAGATAAACACCAAGTGCCCTTCCTCAATTGGCTTCCACTTCGTTTTAGAGACAGAGTGTTTCACTAAATCTGAAATTCACCAGCAAGACTAACCTGGTTCAGCAAGCCAGGAATCGCCCTGTCTCCATCTCCCTCATGCTCGAATCATAGGCATGCTCCATTTCTTATATGGGTACAGGGGATCGACACTCCGGTCCCTCCTACTAAAGGACAAGCACTGTGACCAACTGAACAGCCTTCCCAGCCCCAGCACACACGATCTTACCTGTACACTTCCATTACTCGTGTACCAAGTCCAATTTAAAGGAAGACCATTGTGACATTCACACTTCAGGACGGTAGAATCCCCCACGTAAGTGATCAACGGCTTGTTTTTCCCATGAACGCCGGGTACTAAGAGGAAGGGAGAAAAGTGTTTATTACTGAGACTGTTTAATCAAAAGAAATGGACTAAACTTGACTCTCTCTACTTCATCAACCAATGCACCGTTTTCGTCACGCAGTTCTGATTGTACATACAATGAAACCACCTTGTCGCCATTGGAGATAGCAGCAGTGGTAGTAGAAGTGGTTGGAAAACCCCAGTGGGATTGTCTGCAGTGTTCCACGGAAGGAACAGCCTCCAGTGATTAAAATTAGAACCATTCCAAGCTTGCAACAAAGGATGACATGCTTGAGATAAGAAGCTTCCTGTTTCCAAGGCTGCCCTTTCTTCTCACTGACTTCGATAGCAGGACACTTCTTCATAGCCTTACCCTCACGTTGCACAAGTAAAAAAGCAAAAAACATTCAGGCTAGAAAATCTTTTAATTGGCGCAAATTTGTAAACAGCCAGCAGAGTTAGAGAAAGTGATAACACAAAGGAACAAAGGAAAATCAAGGGGAAGAGGGCGTGGCTTGCCGGTAGAGCGCTGGCCTCCAGTGCACAGAGCTCCGCCTTGCATGGCAGCAGTGTCAAGGGGAAAATTAAAGGGCATTTTAAAAAATGAGATTTAGATACATATTTATTTCATGTCAAAAGGACACATACTAACATTATGATGGCAAATTTCTTCGTCAAGAAAGTTTGAAGCCTATACAATCCGAAACAATGCTGGAGAGGACAAATGAACAGAAGTGTTGTCAATGAAAAGTCACGAGGTGACAGTCGTCCCTCATCGTTCCCACACTGACTGTGAAGATGGATCCTTAAAGATATTTGTTGATTTTTCTTTTTCCTAGTTTCTCTAATTTTAAGTCCTTTTTAATTTTGTGTTTCCCAAGGGTTTATTAAGCTAATCAGCAAGGATAGATAAAACTAACTCAGCTAGATATAATTAGTCAGCAACAGATAACACTACAATGTCTAAATGTCATATTCGACACCATATTGTAGTGTGAAAATTTATAGGTAATTTTAATTTTCAGTGCAGAAATTAGAAAGATTTCAGCTGCCACAGCAAAGTCTCCAGATTAAACATGTTGTCCAAGTGTTTTTAAATTTTATACTACTGATATAACTGAGCGTTTGCATGACGCATGAGCTGTGAAGATGGAAAAGGGGAAAATATCAGTGATGACTGAAAAAGAAATTATGATGTTAATTAATCAGACAAGGAGCAAGGGTCAACAACAGTTTCTTCTGCGGGTTCTGTGCTCAGGTAAGCCGTGCACCAGCGACAGAGACCAGACTGCTGTAGTTTACTGTTTAAAGAGAACCAAAATCATTGGTTTTGATACAAGTATATAATATATGTATCTCATCCTTGTCCTCTTTGGGGCTACTGATCAGCAGTGTGTAATAAGGCAATGTCAATACTAAAGAAATACGTGGATAATGAAGGAGGCCACCCATGAAGATATAAGTGCTTCCACAAGGAAATAATGACAGACAGGCAATCTCTAAATCAGAGGGTTGAAGGTTTGAATCTCTGGCATTTACATAGTCTCTGGCATTTGAATTTTCAGTCCCCAGTTGGTGGCTGTTTGGGGAGGATCAGGGTTGCCTTGCTGGAGGCAGGTTTTGAGAGCTTAAAGGCGTTCACCCCGGAAGTTTGCCTTTTTTTTCCCTGCTTCCTGCTTGAGGTTTAAGATGAGAGCCCTCACTTCTTCTGCTCCAGTCGCCATGCCTGCTGCTGGATGCCACACTTCCTGCCATGATGGACTCTTAAACCTCGAACACCACCAGCACAAATCATCAACTCTTTTGTATATAAGTCCTGGTCATGGTGTTGCCACACTGACAGGAGGAAACTAAGGCACTGGTTCTCACGCTTTTCACAACCACAGAAACATGTTTTGATTAAACTAAATGGACTATAATTTTACAGAAACCAAAAAGATGCCAACTACCAATCAGGCATTGCAGTAGAGGCAAGCACTTTATGACCTAACTGTCTAGGAGGAAGCTCTGCCTCAGCTCCCACTCCTCCCTCTCCTAACCCCCCAGACAGGCGGCCAATGGTCAGCTCTCCCCCACTCCCCTGCCCCCAAGAAAGGCCGCCAACGGTCAGCTCCTCCCCCGAGATGGCATTTAAGACCCCATAAGGCCCCCTCCTCTGGAGCGTTCTCACGGTTTCCCCCTTGTGCCTTCTCCTTTTTCCTGGGACCACCTGGCCATGTTTTGCTCAGGTTAAACCTAGACTTATTAATTTGGCCTGATCTGTCTTATTTCATCGGGAGTTACTCACTAACCTGGGGATTTTTACTTATCAATAACTACGAGACAGGATTAGAGATGGTGGGTGTATGCGACCAGATGAAGGAGCTGGGATTCCCATTATCCCACCCAGAAGAGACAGAGCTGACCCCACTGGAGGAGCTCGGCATTCCTTTTGCTAACTACTCCCTCGCAGGCCTTACTGACACCTGCTCAACAGTAGATCCTTATGACAGCCTTCAAAGATCGGATATACGTGTGTGGGAAGGAAGCCAACACAATGTTCCAATAACGTGATGAAGAGATTTAGGGCCAGGAAATAAATATCTGACAGATAATGACAGCTTTGAAATAAAGGTATCTGATGGGTAGTGCATTATTTGCTTGCTATGTTGTTGTAAAGGTTTAAATAAGAGTTCCTCAAATGGAAAGTGCTTGGTACATAATAACTGTCCCAAAGTTACAACTTTTATTGGGATTATGCCATGGCACAGCTCCCTTAAATCAAGCTTTCTATTATTAATGGTTATGCCCTTTACACGTAATGCCATTAGCCATCTTAATAAGAATAATTACTGTCCTGTGCGATTTTTAGGTCAGTTAGTCTTTTTGGAGCAGAGGAGAGATAAGGTCTACAGGGAAAATTCATCTATGTATATTTTCGAACTGTGTCGATGTCTGAAATCACCCAAGAACAGGGAGAACTTTAAACTGAGTCTCTCTGTGAATCACCCGCACCATCTGGAATGGGCAATGATGAAGATGAAACGCGATGAGTAAATAGGGGGGAAAGGAGAAGAGTGGGAAATACTAGCTCTGGACCCCAGTGAGTCCCTAGTCCATTCAAATACCACAAAGGAGACAACCCCTCAGTGAAGCCATGGGACAAGTTCTCCTACTGTTCTGGCCACACAGCTAAGTGCTAGGTAAGATTATGTATGCATGTTGTAGTCCTGCATAAATTATAACAACTTAAACCAGGATGCCCAGCTAGGTGCTGACTCATAACAAGAAATCAAACTGGATAAAAAGATCAAAACAAGCCTCCTTCTAGACATATGTAATATGCGGCACAGATAGGATACATGGGAAAAAAAATCACTTTACATATGATTATGAAACCTAAAAGTAAAACAGAAATACCCCACTTACAACATACTGTTTATAATGAGAAAAAGACAGAAAAAAAAGTCGTTAGCAATTTGATAAAACCAAGAACTAAAATTTTAAGAAAATAATTTCAATCTAAATGTACCTAAATGGAAAGGGGGTGTTTAAGAGGCATCTCTCCTGTAGGTGTTCTGCCCTAAGTTAGGCTACTATGTGCCAACATCATCTGTCTACCGCCTCAGAACTCGTTTATAAATCCAGATGGTTCCGAAGCTGAGGAAAACAAGCACTATGAGAAATTGGAAGCCGTTCTCAGATCCAAGGGAATAGCAGAGCATCTGTCTTGATACTGATGTAACAAGGATATTTTTAAGTTATTGAGGAAAAGAAAATGATTAAATGTCAAAATGTTAAAGGCTCAGTTGGGTGGAATCCCAGAACATTTTATTCTGATTTGTTTCTTAGGGCACGGTCAATTTCTTCACTAAAAACTGATGGCGAGAGCCGCCAAAGGCTGGGCAATGGTCTGTGGACTAAGGTCTCCATTAAATTCTATATAAATTCCTTCCTTTCATTCAACACTGCGGTTTCTAGCCTCAGAGAGCAGAACTGGCAAGACTTACTCATATTGCAGCACGCGGACTCGTCTGTTCTCTAGAACTGGGAACTGAGAGACATAAGTAATTCCATCCCTGTTGATTCTTGTTTTTTCCCAGTTCGGATGAATGCGCTCCCTTCTCCATAGCTGTAAGCACTAAACTGAGTTCGGGTTGTGGAGGGACAGATTGTTTTACTTTGACTGAAGCTAGTAAGCCATAGCTGGGAAGGAAGGAAGGAAGGAAGGAAGGAAGGAAGGAAGGAAGGAAGGAAGGAAGGAAGGAAGGAAGGAAGGAAGAAAGGAGAGAGGAAGAGAGGGAGGGAGGAAGGAAGTAAGGGAGAGACAGAGGGATAAGGAAGGAAGGAAGGAAGGAAGGAAGGAAGGAAGGAAGGAAGGAAGGAGAAAGGAAGGAAGAAAGGAGAGAGGAAGAGAGGGAGGGAGGAAGGAAGTAAGGAAGAGACAGAGGGATAAGGAAGGAAGGAAGGAAGGAAAGAAGGAAGGAAGGAAAGAAGGAAAGAAGGAAAAAAGGAAGGAAAAGAGCTACACACGCTGGCAAGTCTTCCCAAGAATTGAAACAAGCATGGTTTATATTCCTGGCTAGAAAATAATCACATGATCTAGCTCCGTTTTTATGCATGGTTCCCTATCTGTGGTTTTTGCTATGAAGAAGGAAGACTGGAAAGTTCGAGACTCAGTTGTTCCCAGACATCCTGACAAAGCACCCTCAACCTCCTGGCTCCACACCACCTTCTCACCGGGCTTCTGGACAAATTATCCAGCATTTGGTGAGCTCTATAACTGATGTAAAATATGGTAACACCAAATGTTTGAGTGCTGGTGGTTCATGTTAGGGAGCAGAGGGCTCACTGTTGTTTTGAAAGGTTTCAGTTAAAAAAAGCTACAGATCAAACATGGGGATCAGAACTTGCCTATCCTTTTCTGAAACCACAAGGTCCCCTCCAAACCAGTGCTTTGAAAGCACTGGTTTACTGACTTCCTGTGCCAGGCTCAGCTCACCAGTAGGGAAACACTGCTCCGGAGCACAGCTTCTAAAGCCAGCATTAGTGAGGGCCACGGTCCTGCTATCCCAAGCACTCTATCTTCTGGACACTCTACTTCTCAAACTCGGCATGGGTCTTAGTTAGGGTATCTATGGCTGTGATGATACACCGCGACCAAAAGCAAATCCGGAAAGAGGGTTTATTTCAGTTTACAACTGTTGGATCTCTAAGCGAAATCAGGACAGGATCTCAAAGCAGGACAAGAACCTAGAGGAAGGAACCGTGGCCAATGCTGGGGAGGGATCCTGCTTTCTGTCTTGTTCAGGTTGTTTTCTTACAGTACCCACACCAAACCAGGGTTGACACTACCTCTGGTAGTGGTGCCGCGATCCTTTAATATGGTTCCTCATGTTGTAGTGACCCCCCAACCATAAAGTTATTTCCTTGTCACTTCATAACTAATTTTGCTGCTTGTTATAAACTGTAATGTAAATATCTAACATACAAGATATCTGATAGGTGACCACCCCTCCCAAAGGGGTCATGACCCACAGGTTGAGAACCACTGACCAACAGTGACCAAGGTTCTACCACATTGAACCAACAACGAAAAACTGCACCACAGCCTTGCCCACAGGTCAATCTGGTAGGTGCATTTTCTCAAATGAGGTTCCCACTTTCATAATAACTAACTTGTGTCAAGTTGACAGAAAATTAGCTAGCACGACATGCTTCTTCCTCAAGATTAGGCCGTGCTTTAGCAGGGAATTGGATGTTGAAATACAACCAAGAGACTAATGCATATTCACAAATTAAGAATCAAAAGTGGGAAAGTCAATTTTGTGACTAAGGGTGGGGGAGCAGGAGGAACTCTACTGTTCAGTAAAGTTCCATGACGGAGATGCTCGGGACACATAATGGGCAGGGAGAAAGGGTGTTTCAAGAATCGGGCACCCTATAAGAGCTGGCTAAGAAACCATGGATGTGCTATTAAGCAAGGCCATCTGAATGCTGGGATATGGCTGCAGCCCAAATAAATGACACTGGGTGACGATGCAGAAGCAGAGAAACTGAAATACTGAAACCAAAATCCCTTTCTCCTGTTCTCTTCTGTGCCAATCAAACAGAGATTTAGAGTCTGGCTAAACAAAAGAGGCTTTTTCTAAAGCTGTCCAGCTTTCATCTGCTCTGCTCAGTATGATTCTCAATAATCAATAATTTCATGTACGGAATTGAATTATACATATTAGATACATATTTATATTATATTGTAGATAGATGATAGACAGACAGATAGATAGGCGGTGTGTGTTTGTGATAGAGGTTGTTACTGGGTAGCCCTGGCTGGCCTAGAATTTGATACATACAAGGTATAACAGCAATTTCTGCAACTGAAAAGACCAAACTGTATAATTACAAGGATGTATTATAATTTTCAAGTTGGAGTAATTTAAAACAAAAAAATATCCTGAGTGTGAATATACAGGGTGATGTGGGATTTCCCTCTGTATGCTGTGATTAACATTAATGAATAAAGAAACTAAATAAATAAAGATGGTGATGTACTTAATTGGAGTATTTTTTTATTACTGAAACTATTTATGAAGGTTAAAAAAACCTATTAAGCCAGGAAGTGGTAGAACACACCTTTAATCTCGGCATTCAGGAGGCAGAGACAGGTGGATCTCTATGAGTTCGAGGCCAGGCTGATCTACAGACCAAGTTCTAGGGCAACCAGGGATACACAAAGAGAAATGCTGTCTTGGGAAAAAGAACAAAACTACTAAACTAGGGTATGGTTTAGGCTGCCACTATAAAGATCAATTTTTTAAAATTAATTTACAAAATAAAAAGTTAAAAGTTAAATATAATAAATTATAAACTTAGAAACATTTTTAATTAAATTTAGCCGTGGATGGGTGTGCTGTGTTTTAAAAAGTTCTATGGTAGCACACGGCTTCAGAATCACTCACTTCTCCTTTGCCGGATCAATTCCAGTCCAGCAAATTTATCCACAAAAGTGCTCTTCTCACATGGACTGTATCCATCTTTTATGCCGTATTTTATATGTTTAAATAAACACGTCTTTCTTCGTGTTATTCTGCACAGTGACCTCCTGGATATGGTTCTAGCCTAGGCACTGCAGACGCTACCACGCAGCCAAGGCCTGTGGTGGGCCAATACTCTTCCCAGGCTCACACACAGAACGCTGACGGGGAATTGGTGCACGTGAAGCATCTCTGTCTCTAGGAGACACGTGACTGTGTTCTGAAATACCCATGCTTAATGACGCAACACTCAGGCACCACTGCGCATCAGAGGTAGATGAGACTTTTACAGTCCTCTGAACTCCAAGTCTTGAAGACACTGATATTAGTATCAAGCGATTGTGTATCATCTCAGTCTGGGAATGTAGCAACTCATAATCTTGATGGCTTTCTTTTAGGCCACCAAGCAGTTCCCAATCATGACACAGAGACTTATTATTAGTTATGAATACTTGACCTTATCTTGGCTCTTTATCTGTTTCTCTTCATCTACATGTTGCCGCGAGGCCTTTTACCTCTTACTTTTCTTTCTTTCTGTTTGCCCTACTTTCCTGCTTCTTGTCTTGGCCTGGCTAAGGCTGCCTGGCTTCTGACCCCAGGTGTGGCCCTCTCTTTCCCTCCCTCAAGTCAAGATTTCTCCCCCTACTTATTCTCTCCACCTACCAGCTACGCCTGTCCAGCTACTGGCCATTCAGCTTTTTATCAGACTAATCAGGTGCCTTAGGCAGGCAAGGTGAAACAATTACGCAACTAAACAAATGCAACATAAACCAATACAACACATCTTTACACTGTTAAGTGCAGCATAAATAAATGTAGCACACTTTTACATCATTAGAGTAATATTCTGAAATAGAAGCTAACAAATAAATTTAAGACATTTATCAGAGTTATGAAAACTTTGGCAGCTGACCTTTTGAACTAAAATCTGTATTTTAAATTAAAAGATAGAAGAAAAAGATGGAAGAAAGCGATGGGTTGGGAAAGGCAAGACCACATTCAAGGTTATCTCCTAGAACTCAGTACAAAGTAAATGATTTTCTTTCAGTGGAACTACATTTATTATTATAGCAATTACTTAAAACTCAAAGGACATAGAAATCTGAGAACGTAAAGTTGTAGTTATAAATACTGACCTCTGATATTAAATGTTCCTCTGAGCTCCTTTTCTCCATCAAAGAAACAAGAATAACTTCCCATTTGCTTGCTATTAAAAATGATGAACCTAGTGATAATAAGAGTTATTAATACAAGCTTGGTTCTTACAAATATTTAATAAAATTGAAGTCGTTAATCAAACTTTTAAAACAAATAATTCTGTAAACAGGAAAATCAAAATGCTAGCATAACATTCAAATGCCCTCAAAAAGGACAAATGCTTAATCAGTAGAAACGTGTAGTTAAGCTGGCTATGTAGACCCTCGTGTACATACCTGTACTGACTGTACAAGGTGTTCCCCACTTTGGTTGTATTGAAAACATCAATATTCTCAAGTAATTCACCATCCTTTTTCCAAGTCACATTCACTGAGTTCAAATCCCCAGATGGCGTGAACTGGCATAAGAGCTCCAGGTCAGAAGGCTTTTCCAAAGTAATGTTTTTTTCTACTGGTGAACTGGACTCTTCTGTTCATTACAAAAAGAAACAAGAAAATGTGTTATGAAAAGTTATCTTTGCGGGCGAATTCAATATACGGCTCTGTATATATGAATGCCTTTTATAAATAACATGCATACAAATTATATAAATTTTCAGCAGCGGTCTACCGGCAAACACTTAACGCCCTTCATGTATCTGAAGACCAGCTCTTCGGCAACACAGCTCCGCTGCCCTTCTTTACTGTCCTTTATCAGCAAAGCTGAAGAAACGATCTCTTGTGGCATTAATGGGAGTCCAAAAGCCTAAGGCTGTCATATCTGTCTCCTGAATGAGACAGAGGAAAAAGCTTCTGAGAGACGTCCTGCACATGAGGTGACACGCACTGGCAGGGGCAGACCCGAGCACTGATTTCCCTCTGCTCAGGAAGTGTACACCCTTGGCAGTTACTGTAATATTTGAAGACTGAACTGATGGGCTAGCTTCCCTCACTCTCCATTTTCATAAAGATATGGAAAACTGTTTTGGCTATCCCGGGTCTTTTGAGCTTTCATATAAAATTAAAGATGATTTTTTTTCTTTCAGCCAGACAGTGGTGGCATACTCCTTTAATCCCAGGGCTTGGTGGCAGAGGCAAACAAAATCTCTGATTTCAAGGCTACCCTGGTCTACAGAGCAAGTTCCAGGACAGCCAGGGTTACACAAGAAACCCTGTCTTGAAACACCAAAAATAATGAGCACACAACTGCACACGCGCATGCACGCACGCACACGCGATAGCACACACACACATTCAGTTTCTGTGAATAACAGCAAAAAAAATTTTTGAAGGGGATTTCCCTGAATCTGTAGACTGTTTTTGGTAGGATGGCCATTTGTACAATATACATCCTACTAAACCATGAGCATGGGAAGTCTTTCTGTCCTCTGGCATCTTCAATTTCTTTCTTCAGTGCCTTCAAATTTTCATTATACAAGTTGTGTACTTCCTTTGCTAGATTTATTCCAAGATACTTTAATTTTTGAGGTTAATATTAATGATATTGCTTCCCCAATGTTTTACTCAGTGTGTTCATCGTATTATAATATTTTTATCTTATATTATATGTATTTTTATTACATATAAAAATACAGATTGTTATTGTATTTGTTTAAATTTTGTATCCTGCTATTTTGCTGAATGTGTTTATCAAAGGTAGTTTTCTGGCAGAATCTTTACGGTCCTTTATTTAAGAATCATATCATTTGCAAATAAAGATATTTTGACTTCTTCCTTTTTGTATCGCTTCCATACATCAAGTACCATGTTGAACAGGAGACAAGGGAGATTATGTCCTTGACTTATTCCTGATTTCGGTAGAAATGGTTATTTTCTCTCTTTTTCTCTGTTTAAGATAATATTGGCTCATGACAGGAATGGGTTACCTTTATGGGATTTGTTGACCAGTGAGGTCACACAGACCCTCAAATATGACAAGTCCTCAAAGATTGCCATAGTCCTGGTTATGCTCCAGAGCTCGACAGAAAAACCCTATTGCTGAGAGCATCATATATTTGAGTCCCGGACTTAAAAAACCCGGCTCTGGCCTGGAGCTTCACCGTCACCGGCTCGCTTTCACAGTGCTGAAAGCTTCTATACGTGCCACTGGAGGAGGAAAGAAATCAATCTGGCCCAGCTGTGGAAGCCACAAGCTGACATTACAACCTGCCTGGCAAGCTACACCAACTGGCACCACAGTGGCACAAATGCGGTGGGAGTAACCAGTTGCTTAGAGACAGACTTAAGGCCCATTCCTCAAATGAAACCAAACCTGGCAGCATTACCAGGTCCAAGCATCTGTGGGGAGACAGATATAGGCTGTAGGTGAGAACCCACTGCTGTGACTACCAAACTGGCCCCTGTGGATTCTCATTATTTTGTGCTTGTCTGAATGATAAGTGTCCCCTTATTTGGTCTCCAGCTGGCAGTGCTGTTTGGACAGGTGTAGCCTTGCTGGAGTAAATGCCACCAAGGCTTTGAGAGAATGTCACTGCTCCCTGGGATTATAAACTTTATTCTTGGTACCATTTTATACCTCTGCTTCCAGACCACAAGGAAGTGAGCAACTTCATTCCCATATGTTCTTCACCTATGACGTTCTGCCTGACCACGATTCAGAAACAATGGAGCCAGCCTCTCAAACCATGAAGCCAAATAACGCCTTCCTCCTGTTCTTATCACAGAAAACTTTCATATACATATATGGATATGAATATGCAAATATACACACATGTACTTTTTGAAGGGGTCCAGAATATAACAATAAAATACAAAACTTATTTTGAGCAAAGAGTATGAGTTTCTGAAATCTTTTAGGTAAACACTCAGAATGACTTGACTGTTGACAGTCTTCTCCTCAGGGCCAAGGAACACTCAGCAATAGAGAACTCTTACACCACGCCTGAAGCCTACATGACCACAAACCTATCATGTGTTCTATTGATTCTCCTACAGATGATTTACCTTTATCTTCCCATAAATAGCCTTTTGCTCCCTGTCCTTCCACTATTAAGATGTTAAACACATAAATGCGGAGACAAAAAAATATGTTAAGCAGAATGTCAAGCACAAGAATTGAAATGCAAATTTAAACTGAAACAGTTTATTTGTGTGAACTAAAGAAATGCTGACTTTATACAAGAAGAGTGAATAGAATCCTAGTTTGTTTTCTGTTGCTGGGATAAAACTTTCTGACCAAAGGCAATTTAGGAGAGAACGGGTTTATCTGGCTGATAGATTACATCCACCATCAGAGGAAGCCAAGGCAGGAGCCAGGCAGAACAGACTCAAAAGAGCACAGAGGGATGCTGCTTACTGTCTTTCTCTCCCTGGAGTTGACTAGCTTGTTTTCCTATAAAACCTGGTACCATATACCCAGAGGTAACAACACCCATGTCAATGATCAAGGAAGAAAATGGCCCACAGATACACCCACTGGCCAATCCAAAGGAGGCAACTCCTCAGCTGAGGATCCCCTATTTGATGACTCCAGTTTGTAACAAACTGACAAAAATTCAACACAAATAGCATTATCAGAGGCTGAGGAGGGTGGAGGCAAGGAGAGGGCAAAGGACAGTTAACAGGCATTGGGGTATGGGTAGATATTCCAATGCTCTATACCTCAGAATGATAACCAGAAAATGCAATTAACTGTGACCTTCAAAACAGCTAGTAGATTTTTGAATGCTACCAAAACATGATTTTTGTTTGAAGTGGGAATGGATTTGGCAATTACCCTGACTCGATTACCTTGTATCATGTAAAGGTCTCTTAAGCCATATTCAGAAGAACATCAAGACCATTTGACTCTGGTGTCGAACATCATCTGTCCATTTGCACAGACAGAGTCTTGCAAACCAAAAAGCAAAGTTATTTGGGCCATCTTTATTTCCTTTGGTAACCACTCACTGGCCACCACTGCATTTGATCTGACACCTCTGTGCTTCTGGATAAAAATCTTAGGTGTTCAGTGAATCCTGACTCACTGCTAGTCTCCACCTACTTGAAGGCTTAGAATAACATGTGTATCCTAGTGAAGATGCCCTCCTCACTCTGATAATCAGCTCTAGCTAATGGCTCCACCAAGGCAAACAGGAAATACATTGGCTCATGACTTTCTTTTGTTGTGTGACAACAGAAGTTTATGTGCCATCTTCCACTATGGAGTACTTCACTTAGGGTAACTTGAATCTGTGTTCTGGGCCACTGTGGCCTCTTATAACTACCTCAAAAAATTCCTTTTAAGCAAAATTGTTGTTTTAGATTGACAGTATATGCACACTTAAATATCTCACTGTATCTGATAAACGGTATGACTATTTTAGCAATTAAAATTTCTAATTTTTAAAAAAAAGAGTATGTATGATATAAACCCTAACTGCTCCCTTAAGTCACTTTTCTCCAATGACTACTATAATTATAACCAAACCTATCTCTTTCTTTGACAATCTGTCTTTGGTTGGGTTATTTCCAGGAACCTGTAAACAAAGATCTTTCTACCCATAAATCTGGCTACACAGAAGAGATTGATAAAACACATGACCAGTCCTGCTTATCCAGAGTCTGTAGCTAGTAAAGTCAAGACCTCAGACCAAGGCAAGTCTTATTTAGCGGCAGGAAAGCTCCATGGTGTAGCGGATCAGTGTGTGGCACTTCGATATCTATTTGCCTGTAGGAGAGGTCTAGTGAAAATATCAAACAAATGGGTGTCTTGTTTCGATCTATGCGACTGACCAATCAAATGGAAGCGAGAGAAAAATTTCTACTTATGGATTCTCAGGAAATCAGTAAGCAGATAATCACACACCTACTGAACTCCAATCAAGGCAATTCTGTAACAGTCACCACGGTCCCATAGCCGTGGTGAAGAGCAATGCCAACTCCTCAACACCTGAAAGGAAGCTGGAGGGAGAGGGGAAAGGCTCAGGAATAGATTGTCTGATTTCCAGTTATTGGATGTAAAGACAGAAAGGGCTTATTAAACTGTCTCCCAGTATCCCAGGGGAGCGGCCAACAAAATTGAGATTGTAGAGAAATCCTACAGGATGAAGAGTCAGGTTCTTTGCTGCAGGAGAGTGAAAGATAGAAGAAGCAACATGTTTCAGAAACCTGGGGGTGACAAACACCTCTAAAAATGAATAAAATGTCTTTATTTAAAAAAGCAAAATATTGTGTGAGTTCTAGAAAGTCAGTGCTACACGGAGAAACCCTGGGCCTCAAACACCCCGCTCCTCAAAAGCTAAATACTGTACTTGGGGTGCCATATTTACTGTAGTTGGACAATAAAACAATACAGAAAAAGAAGGAAGTTTCTACACAAATATCAAAGCAATGATAGTCCGCAGTGGCACAGAGGGTGCTGTATTTAGGAGAGACTCTATTGTAGAAACTCATTTCTAGTTCATTCTTAGGGAGTGCAGCACCACGTAGAGGACAAGTGGACAGAACATACGTGAGGTACCTCATGACATTTAACTATACTTAAAACTT